GGAATTTGCTTGTTTATTTATCTCCTTTGCAGGCATTATCCCCTGGAGCCCGTCCCATGCAGCCAGCCCCAGCCGTTTGTGAAGTGCTCTGCACAAGCGAAGATAAATCTCTTCAGATCCTGACCTCAAGCAGCTTAGACTCTAGTAGTTGAAGTTAGATAGGTACCTAAGACCCCATAACATGAAGTTGCAAGTGTTGTGTCATATGACGAAAAACTGGGAAGCAAAAGGGATTACTTTCGGCAGTGGACTAGGGCCAAATTTCACAGAAGGTTGTCACGGTGAAGGGAACGCTGATCTTGGCAGTAAGAAGGCACTGGAGTGCAGGAAGCCAGTTAGAGGCTACCGACATTTTTGTGGATTGCATCTCATATTGAATATATGCCATTTCATAATGTAACAACTTAGATTGCTCATATGTATGGAATGAATGTGGATAAACAACTCGTGGTATATTCAGACAATGGAATACTATCCAGATACAAAAAGAACAACCTGCTGTGTTGACTCATGCTACAGTAGGTATGAATCTCCCAAACATTATTCTGAACAGGAGAAACTGGGCATAAAATTGGGAAGACTGTATGATTCTGTTTATATGATGAAATTCTAGAAGAGAGTAAAGCCATCTATGTTGATAGAAATCAGATCGGTGGTTGACCAGGGTATGGTGGTACAGGTGTTGACTGAGTGCAAATGAGCAAGAGGACGCTGAAAAGATATTCTATATCTTCTTTTTTTTTTAGATATTCTACATCTTAAATGGGGTCAGCGGTTACATAGATGACTAAGTTTGTTAGAATTCATCCATTTCTATGTGTAGACTATAGAAATTTTAATGTATGTAAATTACACCACAATAAAGTTTACTTAAAAATTAGGAATCCGTAAAGCATACAAAGATACTATGGTCAGCAAAGTACTTGATTTGTAATTGGTCATTTCTAAATTGTGTTAATTCATCATTAAATGTAGTTTAATAAAGCAAATAAGCCTGCTTTAACTAAGAATTGTGACCTTCTTCAAAACAAAATGAGACATGGTGGATAGAGTGAGTCACTCACATATTTTCTGAGTGAATGAATGGAAGGGAGTAAAGGGAATATTCAAAGAAACAATGACTGGAGAATTTTCCAGAACTGATGAAAGTCTTGAATGTACACAAAGTATAACATGTGCCAAGTATGGATAAATAAAAATGCTTATCTCTATTCATAGACTTAAGCTACTACAGAAAAATAAGGGACACTAGCGATTCTAGTGGGAATAAAAAAGAAAAAGTGACAAAAGTAGATGGATCGAGACAGCTAAGTGGCAATTAGGAGACTTGCAAAGATCAGTTGATCATTTCTCCAATTAAGCCTTTCAAATGCTACCTAACTCTGCTCAAGTTTTCATTATTCTTGGTACTTTTATTTGAAAACCAGCCCATTTTTCTCTGGTCCGTAAAACAGGTAACTTTCTCAAATGAAGCTAGCATGATAACTGTGAAATCGTAAAGGAAGTTACAGCAGCTCTGAAGAGCAGTTTGATTTGCTCTTTCAGTGGAAATTGAAAGAAAATTCCTTGATAGGCAAAATTTCCCATAAAATCTTGCTATAGCAATGAGCCCGGTAGAGATTTTTTCCTTCAGAATTCAGGCAAGCTCCCTATAAACTAGGAAAAATGTTATAAAAATGAAATTGAGATAAAAGACCACAAGTAGATTGGAAGGTGCTTAAAAATAGAACAGGGCACCATGCCATGGGTTAGTGATAATGGAATCTGTCTACTTTGGCCACCTGATTTTATTATTCCGTAATCATTTACATAATTATCTGCTTAAGCCACACATTTGTGTGTGTTTCTCTCGTGCATTCAGATTTAAGGAATAATTTTGTTTTCTATAAGTAGATAAAAAGGACTAAGAGATAGATATTTGAGAGAGAGAGAGAGAGAGAGAGAGAGAGAGAGAGAGAGAGAGAGAGAGAGAGAGAGAGAGAGAGAGAGAGAGAGAGAGAGGAATAAATTCAGGGGCGCAGTCTCATCCTTTATCCTTGCCTGTGTCTAGATCCTTGTCCGATTTTCTCCTGCCTTGGGCAGAGATCCCGGAGACCACAGGTTCAGTTATTAAGCAAATTCCTTACTGATGATTCGAACAAGGGATTTGGTTATGTCTAATCTGGGAGAAATGCGGTAGTTTCCATTCGTCTGTTCAAAGGCTCTGCTGAGGTTAGAGTGGCAATCAAGGTCACTCAGCGTTCTAAGAGGGAGCCGTCCCCTCCCCCCCCTTTTCTCTAACACAATGAGAGCATCAGGGCACTACCTTTCTTTGGACAAATTGATCTTTCCATAAAGTGCCTGGAGTTAATTTCCTTTCCCTGAAAAATGTAGCGTGTCTCCAGACATGTACCAAAGGGAGGAGTTCTGAATCCTGTCTGAACAAGTTCATACTGACTCCATCCCGCCACAGATTTCGAGTTAATTTTATTTACTTCCTACTCAAGAATTAATTCCGCTTTGATTGCTCATCAGTCAGTGGGGTCACTGTGGACATTTACGTGATTATATTATCCCCTTGGTGGCAAGGAAGAAGGGAATAAACAGTAGGTTCTCCTTTGAAAGATAAACCCTTAAAGAACTGTCCTTTTCTTACTACTATAAAAAAGATTCTTGAATTTATTTGGACCTTGGACCAAATTTTTGGGAAGCATCTGCTCATGAGTTGTTTTTCATTTTTTTTAGTGCTTGGGTTGCTCAGTACCCACTTGCATTAGGGAAAGTGACCAACTTTCTTTCTTTCTTTCTTTCTTTTTTTTAATGCATTGAGTGAATATTTTTTAGTGGAATGGTTGAATTTCTTTAATGATTTTTAAAACCATACTTTTAAGAGCTTTTTTGGTGGTTTTTCCAGAGCTTGCCATATACATCTTAATTTATTGGAATCTACATCTTCAGCTTTATATTAACTTCATTCCAGTTAGATGTAGAAATGCTGCATTTTACACAAACAGAATCATATCATTTGTGATCTTCTGTGACAGGTGTCTTTCACTTAGCATGATGTTTTCAAACTTCATTCATAACGTAGCGCACATCAGTGCTTTATTCTTTCTTTTTAAATTATTACCAATAGTATTTTATTTAAAACAGACCCACATTTTTAATCTATTCATTTGGTAGATGGGCATTTGGATTGTTACCACTCTTTGGCTATTATGAATAATCTTGTTATAAGCATGTGTGTGCAGATTTTTGTGTGAATGTATGTTTTCAATACCCTTGGGTATATACTTAAGAATTGAATTGCTGAGTCATATGGTAACTCTATGTTTAGCATTTTGAGGGATTACCAAACTATTTTCCAAAGCAGCTGCACCAGCAATGAATGAGGGTCTGATTTTTCACATATTCATAAAAGCTTGTTATTGTCACCCTTTTTATTTTAGCCATCCTTGTGGCTGTGATGTGGTATCTCATTGTGGTTTGATTTGCATTTCCCTTATAACTAATGACATTGAACAGCTTTTCATGTGCTTCTTGGCCATTTGTATATCTTCTTTGGAGAAATATCTATTCAAATCTTTGCCCATTTAAAAATTGATTTGTAAGTCTTTTATTGTTGAATTCTAAGAGTTCTTTACATAGTCTCAATATAAGTCCCCTGTCAGGTGTAAGATTTGCAATTTTTTCCATTCTAGGTTGTCTTTTCACTCTCTTGATAGTGTCCATTGAAGCACAGAAAGTTTTAATTTTGATGTAGTCCAATTTGTCTTTTTTTTGTTGCTTGTGCTTTTGATTCGTATCTAAGAAATCATTGCCTACTCCAAGGTCACCAAGGTTTACTTCTATATTATATTTTAGGAATTTTATAGTTTTAGCTCTTTCATTTAGGTCTATGATTCATTTTTAATTAATTTTTGCATGTGCTATGACATGGTGGTTCAACTTCATTTTTTTTATTTGCATGTGAATATCCAGTTGTACCAGAACCATTTGTTGAATAGGCTATTCTTTCCCCATTGAATTGTCTTGGAATCTTTGCTGGAAATCAATTGACCATAAATATAAAGTTTTATTTCTGGACTTCAGTTCTATTCTATTGATCCACATGTCAATCCTTATGCCAGTGCCACGCTGTCTTGATTACTGTAGGTTTGTTGTAAGCTTTCAAACTGGGGAGTGTGTTTCCTCCAATTTTGTCCTTCTTTTTCAGAATTATTTGGCTGTTCTGGACTCCTTACATTTTCATATGAATTTTATGATCAGTTTGTCAGTTTCTGAAAAAAATTCCAGCTGGGATTTTGATAGATTGCAATGTATCTGTAGATCAATTTGGGAGGTATTGGCATTTTAAGTATTAAATCCTTTGATCCATGAACATAGGATGTCTTTCCATTAATTAGATTTTTTTAAGTTTCTTTCCAAAATGTTTTATAGGTTTCAGAGTACAAGTTTTGTACTTCTTTTGCTAAAATTTATTACCAAATATTCTGGTTTTTTAATGTTATTATAAATAGAATTGTTTTCTTAATTTACTTTTGGATTGTTCCTTGCTAGTGTACAAATATATGATTGATTTTTATATATTGATTTTGTATCCTGACACTTTGATGAACTTGTTTATTGTTTCTAATTATTTTTTTTAGTGGATTATTTTGGATTTTGTGTGTACAAGAGCATGTCATCTGCAAATAGAGATTGTTTTAATCATTTTTTTCCAATCTTTTTCTTGCCTAAGTGCTCTGGCTAGGGCCTCCAGTACAACGTTCAATACAAGTGGCGAGGACAGATATCTTTGTCTCCTTCCTGGTCTCAGGGGGAAAGCTTTCAGTTTTTCTCCATTAAATGTGATGCTAGCCATGGGTTTTCCATAGATACCTTCTGGCAGCAGGAGAAAGTTCCCATCTAGTTTGTTGCCAAAGTACTAGTTAACTACTCTTTGTAAAGAAGTTGAGTCAGTTCCCATTTTCAAAAGTTTTATTTCTTCCCTTACCCTTCTTCCATTTTTCATTCCATTTTTTTATTTACTCAGAAAATGTTTAGCCTATATTCGGTAACAGAAATTAATTGTCTCATAGGGCATTCTCTTTCCCCACCCTCTGTAGGCACCAGAATTTTGCTCTCTCCTCCCTTCTTTCTTAGTATATGATGAGTTACTAATAATTTGTACTTAGTATAGAGCTAAATCAAGGTATCCTTGGCTGAGGGGGATTACATTTGAACCTTTCTCAAATTAATATATCAAAGACATTTTCCAGTTATGGAATTTCAGGCATTAGTAGTGATCATTTAAGCTGCCACCTACTCTGGTTAGATAAAATAAGTTGATCTTTGATATGAAATTATCTTTAGCAAAATGGTAGTACAAAAGCTCTTTCAGAGTTGCATAGAGTAATTCAGCCACTTCAAGAGATATTCAGTTCCCTATCTGTTTGTGTCATGAAGTTTTTGAAATGAACCCCTTGAACTCTGAGTTTGGGTGACAGTCAGCCTGGTAGCTAAGTAAACAGTGACATGAATGTCCAACCTTCTTTCAGAAAGGATTTAATGCCACTTAAGTGCTGAGGAAATTGGGATGCTGGGAGAGTGTGAGCAAGAGAGACAAGCTGTATGAAACCTATGTGGGGTATGAGAATTCCTTGGGCCAGGGTTACTGGAAGACTCTACCTCCTTCTGGAAATAGATGCTACTACCCAGCTAGGCAGGGGATGTGGAAGGTGATGGCACCCCCTCTTCAGCTGGTGCACGTGTGGTGAAGCTGGCTTGAATCCCCTGGTACAGTGACAGTGGCTGCTCTCCCAAGCCCCACACACCAGAGCCAGCACAAACCCTCCAGGGCCCGGAGGGTCGACGTTGTGAGGGGAAAATCCACACAGTCCATCCTCCAACATTGTGCCTCCGTTCCCACCCCAGGCATCTATGGGTCTCTGAGGGTACAGGTAGGGATAAAAGACTTCAAAGTCACTGCCAGCTAGAGTCAAATGAGTGTGAGGGGGTTTGAGGGGAGAAAGCTGTGAAATCACGCTCTCCAAATGTCAGCCTGGGAGGTTAAGTGAGTGAGATGTGGAGTAAGACTG